AAATTTTTTTTACCTCACTTATCCGTTTTGGCTTTCAGCACCTGTAAAAATACAGTGGGTTCATACCTGCTTAGGTTTCTGAGAGAGCAGTTTTGCCGATATATTAACGTCTTCTTTCTCACGGTGGTTCTTTTAAAGGTGACTCACTGCATTTCTATGGTTAATTCTGTACTTCTTCTAAGATTTCAAACTGAGACAGAAAAACCCGTTATATAAATTAACAAAAAAAAACATTTGAATCTTTCTACTCTACCACATTTTGTTGAAAAAATTTATTGAAAGTTTGCGTCAAGTGCGTTCAATCTTTTCGGTTTTCAGCTTATTTTTGAAGAAAGTTTGACTCGCCGTTACGTAGCAGCGGGAATACTTTTGGTTTCTCTGGGTGTCTCTTTCTTGAAAGAATTTTGGGAATATATGGTCAGTTGCATATTTCAATAATCTGTTGATTCCGCCACTCTTTGATGTGTTTTCATACAGATCTTTGAATGATATTTGTAACTCATGTACTTGCCGCCAGGCTACGACTTGATGGAGTCAAGAAACTTATAGAAATCAATAAAACTGTAGCGCAAAAATTTTATTCTTGTTCTTATTCTAAAAACTCATACGAATTAACAAGGATGATTTAAGTTTTTTGTGAAATCTGTGGTGTAGTTAAATTCAACAGACCTTAAGATCAAAATATTTTAATGGTAAATTGAGTTCGGCGAGAACTACTTAAATAAGCGCGCTATGCTAAACTGATCAGTGTTTTCTTAAAAGTATTTGACTAAGTAAAGGAAGAATTTGCAAAAACCTTGCAACCACATATGTAGTGTTAACTTTCAAAAATGAGTTGAGAAAGAAATTTCCGAGCATCTTTCACAAACAATTTTTTTCAGAAGAGGAAGATATCTGACGAAAAAGTAAATAAACTCAGGACGAAAGTTTTGCGAGCTAACAAATGGGAGCTTTTAAAGTGGAAACAAGTATTTTTACATAACCTTACTAATATCTTGAAGAATGTCCTAGCTAAAAACTTTTGGTAGGAAATATCTTAATTTATTAAATTAAAAAGTCGTTGTTAGAAACAAATGAAAAAGCCTGTAACGAACCGCAGTGTTTTCAAAATTCTCCAAACTAGATGACAAGATGCATTAATAGATAGAAATCCATGATTTTTCAGGAGCTTCATCCCCGAAGTGTCTGTTTTTCCACTGGTCATTTCATTTCTCAATATCCATTAATTTAGATTGTTGTTGGTGACATCATCAGAGTAGCAGACGGTGAGGTTTTTCCAGCTGACCTCCTGTTGCTGTTATCGAGCAACGCAGATGAAACGTGCCTTGTGGAAACTTCAAAATTGGATGGAGAGAATAATCCAAAAGTACGTCGTGCTTTAGGATGGGCATGCAGTTTAAAGGACAAGTGGATTGGATCATTTCGTTGTGAGATCCAATGTGAGCCTCCGAATAAAAACTTGAAGGCGTTTGTAGGAAAAATGATCGTGGGCAAGGAGACGTATGATTTAGGCGAGTTTTAGCCTCTGTTATTAAAAAGTTTTATTTCTAAGCTTTTTAATATCACAATGCATGAACGAATCACTTTGATTGCCGTCTAGAATTGTATGCTAGATACAATTACATTGCATAGTAACTTTAAAGCAGAAGTGAATACTCTCTCATTTCCCATTGATAAATAACCGGAAAGCTCATTTGTGCATAAAACATTTAATTTTTTGCTGGTTATTCTATCGCAGACCTTTTTTATCAGGATCTTTGCTTATTTTATAGCCGAAATATCAAAAGGAATACATTGCGGTTTATGCAGCTGCACTGCATGACTTTAAGGTAACATCTGTAGGAACCGAACAAGTTTTGCTTCGCGGTACACGGCTGGTAAATACAAGTTGGATTTTTGGCGTGGCATTGTATACTGGAAAAGAGACAAAACTCTTAATGAATTCTGCAGCTCGACCGCTTAAAAAGTATCATTTGTTACTGGCATTTCTTTAGTGCTTTGAAATGCTTTTGATTGAATTATGTTGAATGAGTTGAGAGGGTTGCAACACATTAAAATCTACTGTTTCTGGAATTTAAAAGATTCTGTCAAAAATCAGAATGTTTTCAGGCTCAAAGTTTTGTTAGCAAAAGAAAAAACACTTATTTGTGATTCTAACATCTTTTGTTTTCAACTTTTTCAAATTATGACTCGTCTTACCAGATAAAAAGTACGGCAATTTTTTAGAAAGTGCGGAAGTATAAAAATGCTTTTAAATTTTTCAGTCTATAAAATTTATTTATTTTTTGTTATAATAGCAATGAACAAAAAAGTTGCTAATGATAAGTGGAAATTAAAAAAAAGTGTTAAAGCCTATCTCTAAATTCAAGAAGCGCAGGATTTTCTGAGTGACCTCTTATAAAGTCGTTGCTATTACTGCAATTTATTTTTGCAATGATGCGTTTGAAAAGATTAGCACCTCGTAACTTTGTCTTCAACACTCCAAAAAAAATCAAAGCAATTTTTTTTTTTTCTTTTGGTTTCTACCACTGTTTCAATTCTAGCTGCACTGCAGCAAGTGAATTCATGATATATTCAGATACTATGATAAAAATAAAAAAAAACTTGATTTTTGCATAACTATACTTCTTTTTTCTTTCAAGGGCAAAGATTGGTAAAACCAAGAACTGTGGAATTGCAATACTTGTTGTTGCGTTAGCAGGGCTCTTAGCGTTTAGCTTTTATGGAGCTGAATTGTACGAAAACTTCTTCTTACTGAAGTCACAGTACCTCGGTCCCTCCAGTCTGTATTTTTTCATTATTTTCTCAATTAATGACTAAAAAAAATTTGCAGGTTATCTAGATGCAAATTTTAAATCCTGTTTAAAATCAGTTTATTTTATTGTTTACGAAATGGTTATTGTGTCGTGGTGCAGCAACAATTCTTTGATAGAATAAAATTTGGGTGTAATGAATGCAAGTGTTTAGAAAACGGAGTTCAGATAATTTCTGACCAGTTGCCTAATAAATTTGACTTATAATACAGAGCTATAATGGATACAATTGATTGCACTCAATGATAGCAACCTTTTAACTATTTTAATTCTGAATTATTTTCCAGCAAATGCTATCATCACTTCTGATTTAGCCGTAAATCAAACTTTATTGCTTCTAATCATTTTTAATTTGCGTTAAATTTCGGTTTTTTAGGGCCGCATATTTCGCCCTGGAATACCGTACCCTGCTTCTTGTTTTTATATTACAACGTTATACCTGTATCATTGACAATAACGCTAGAAATAGTTCGATTTATTCAAGCTTTTTATATCGACTCTGTGCGTATCATACGTCATTTAACAGTTTTACTATAACTTTAGTTTTTCATGAGTCGGCACTTGCGCCAGTGCTATAAAATTCAAAGTAACTGTTTACTTCACAGGATCTGGAAATTTATGATGAAGATTCAGATACTCCTGCAGTCGCACGAACTTCAAACTTAAACGAAGAATTAGGGCAGGTCTGCATTTACTCCATTTGCTACTTGTGACTCTCTCTTCACTCACGTCTTTAAAGTGACAGATGATTTTATAGCAAATTCTGCGTAAACTTGTAAACTGATATCGTTATCTACAGATATTGTTGATAATTCTTCATTTGAAAAGTTGAGCAGTTTCAAAGATAAAAGTGCTAATGCACTACACTGATCCAGTTAGCTATCTGACGGGTTTCACTTGCTTGATAGGCTAGGTAGTTGACCCCCCTTTAACTATCAATTATTCCTTTAAAACTGTATATGGCTTGTTAAAAAGTATAAAACTGGCTATCACGTCTGAAATAATAACAGTAAAACTTTTTTTGGTTTTTTTTAATCGGAAGCTTTAATGGAGGCTTTTGAACTAGTAATTTCGCAGTTACTTATTGTGTTTTAATGGTAGGACGATCGTCAAGTAGTGGAACTGCTTTTAACTACACATACTTGTTATCCTTTATGGACCATGCAACATTACTGGTATTAGTCAACTAATATCAATAAAAAAAGTAGAATTAGAGAAGAAAATAATCACAACTTTTTAAAGGTAAAAAAAGAAAAAAAATGATGGATTCTGATATAAGTATTTCGAGAAATCGACTGCTTCTTATAAGAAAAATCTCTCCAGTTAATTCTTAAATTTATTCTTTTACAGCATTCTTTTTAGAAATGCAGAAGTGAATTTAGTCTTTCTGTTTTTGTGTATTCAATAGTTATAAATCTTGCGATTTTTATTTAGGTAAATTTTGTACTTTGCGATAAAACCGGAACTATGACTGAGAGCAAAACGAAGCTGAAAAGGTGGTTTGTTGACGGTAAAGATTATGACAGTGGTGACAAAGGCAGTTATCAAATTTTCATTGAGAAACTCAGTAAATCTTGCTGTCCTGAAGAAGTAACTTCATTGTTCTGTCACCGAATAAACAACTTCTGTGGTATTGGCTTAATAAGCCAGTAAAAGTTCAAGCTCTGTTTTATCTAATCCTAATCTTTAAAACTTTTTAGCATTCCAATTCTTTGCAGAAGAGTTTTCTTCAAAAAATAGCTATTTCTCCAGTAATTATTTATGTATTCTTTTTTTTAGTCTGATGAGAATGTCCCAAGAGAATTTCTGCGTTCATTGGTCCTATGCAACTCTGCAGTTCCCACTACTGAAGAAAGTGACCAGATTGTCTATCGTGGGCCATTTCCTGAAGAAATAGCTTTGGTTATCAAAGCCAGATCTATGAACTTTACTCTTCAGAGCCGTACATCAAAATCAGTTGAAGTCAACGAGGTGTTTTTTTGGTTCCTTTTTGGTAAAGACTGTTAGAAATTTGATAAAATACTCCTAATCAACTTTACAAATTTTTCTTTCAAAGTTTCTAGAACGGTATCTGCGATTGCCTAATTTCTAAAATGGAAGTGCTAACTTGTAAAAGTGAATTTGCGTTTGAATGAAAATTCTATTTTAACTTCTTCTTCTAATCAAAGACGTTTTTGTAGCTTATAAGTTAATAATTTATGTAGTAAATGAAAAATAATTGAGACTTTTTGGAAGAAACTTGAGTAAACCTTTTTTTGATAATTTTTTTATTTTAGCTCGGGGAAACCATAAAATATCAGATACTTAATGTTTTGGGTTTCACAAGCGAAAGGATGAGAATGAGCGTTGTTGTCCGATGTTTTGATAATGCTATCAGAGTGTACACAAAAGGAGCAGTTCTGTTTTTCCTCATTAATCTTTAAGACTTTTTGGATTATTCGTCCATTATTTTTGTCTTAAAAGAACTTTCACTTTTTTCTTTCAGGATTCAGCGGTAATTAAACGTTTGCAACCAAATCCAGAAGTTCAAAATAAATGTCACAGTCAGTTAAAGGATTATGCAAATATGGTATATGTAAATATTTTCTTTAATTAGGGTAAATCTATAGTTGAACTCTTTTATTTCTCTTGCGCCGACTTGTCCACCTCATTCTTGCCTTCAGTCCACAAAATTATTGTTAGCTTTCAGCTATTTAACTGACTTACAAGAAATTACACGTTACAGTTCTTTAGCAAACAATAATTTGAGGGATATCATACACTGTGTTTTGCGTATCGAACCCTTGAGGAGAATTTTTACAAAAAATGGGCCAAGAAGTATCAAGAAGCTACTGATAAGGAGCTTGATGACTGCACCGACGATATTGAAAAAGATATGTCTTTGATCGGAGTGGCAGCACTAGAGGATAAGTTGCAAAAAGTTCCTGCATTCTAAGTTTTATAAAGAGTTTCGTTAAGCAAATCCACACATTTCGTTCCACCAACATTTTTTTGTTTCTTGTAGGATAAATGGGAAGCTGGTTACACAAACCTTTTTTTATTAGACCGCACTACTTAATCATTTTTTCAGTGAGTTATGCTGCAACTCAAGTTTTTTTGTTCATGCATTTGCTTTTATCTAGGGTGTTGCCAAAACAATTCAGTCGTTATTCAATGCGAAAATTCGCGTTTGGATGATAACAGGAGATATGGTTGAAACTGCTCTAAGCTGTGCTCGCTTGTCCGGGTTCTGCACGAGCACAACCGAGGTGCTTTCGTTGAACTCTGTTCGCCAGATTGACCCCTTGCTGCATCAAGTTAAAACAGCTATGAGGAAAGGAAAATATGGTTTACCCTCATTATTTAAAGCAATGTCAGTTTGCTTTCATTTTTGGTATATATTATAAGTCATTAGACCTGCTTCCTCCTGCACGTTTTTCAAAGTTGAACGTAGCTCGCTTTTTTTTGTTCAAGTTTCGGGTGCGGTTTTTCAGCTGTTGCCGTTTCCTCAGACGTAGAAGAGTGGCAAAAAATCCAAAAAAAGAATTTATTCTGACTGTCGAAGGAAAAGTTAGTTTATTTTTGTCACTTCAATTAAAGAAAGACTTCTGAAACTTGTTTAAAGACAAAGTGTCATCGAAACTAACATATTTTAGAGTTGTTTTTTGTACTTATAAAATAGCATCTATATTCTCTTATGTTTGTCAGGTCGCACTTTCAATAAGCATAGCGCAGCAGCTTTACCTAAAATAATTGGAAGAGAAAGCTTAATAGTTGCTTCTGCTACCGCACCATTCTTAAGCTAATAATTGCGTTTACATTCCTAGAATATTGTTTAGAAGATTTTATTATCTCTTTTAGACCTTGCAGTCTGCTCTCGAGAAACCTTACAAAAAACATTTTTTTCATTTGTCATTGATGTGCCGTTCCGTTATTTGCTGTCGTATGACTCCAACACTAAAGGCCGGAATTGTAAAGATGGTTCAAAACAAAGGAAAAAATGTTGTGTTGGCTGTAGGAGATGGGGCGAATGACGTGGCAATGATTCAAGTATATTCAAATATACCTCCACAAACCAGTTCAGATGTTTTAGAAAGTGATATAGTTCAAAATATGTTCACTTTAGCAAGCAGATGTCGGGGTCGCAATCGCCGGTGAGGAAGGTTTACGGGCTGCGTTTGCCAGCGATTACTCTATAGCACAATTTAGGTTTCTCAGGCGTTTATTGTTTGTTCATGGCGCCTGGAATTTCAAACGTACTTCAAGGGTGACTTCTACTATATTGCTATTTTGTTATGGTTTTCCAAGGTAGCAGTGTGTTCTGTTACTTTGCTTTATCGTATGGTGGGACGATACACCGTAGTAGACTGTTTTGCTTAGGTCTGTTTTAGGTTATACTTTATTGCTTCTATAAGAGCATTTGTTTCTATTTGATCGAAATGTGGTTTGCGTTCTTTTCTGCTTTTTCTTGCCAAAGTGTTTTTGACAATTTGAGCGTTATCCTATTCAATTTGTTCTTCACTGCATTGCCACCAATTATGATCGGCATTTTCGACAAGCCAGCTGATTGCAAGTTTGCTGATCCTATGGAATATATTGCTTTGCGAAAGAAAGCATTTACAATTACTGTAAGTTTTATGCTTCATTTCAACGCTGAAGAACATTTGGCTGAGCATATTAAAAATGTTCGATTTGTTCTTTTCACAAATGCTTTAATTACTGCATCTTTTAGGTCTAATAAAATCTGGTCAAATAACAGTAAGAAAGAACCTCGCTTTTTAGTATAGGTATATATATAGGTTGGCCCATAAATTCTTGCTCTAGAACAGATCGCTCAAGTTAGAATACAATTTAAACGAAATTAAGCTTATAACGGATGATGAGTTTTTCTGTAAGGGAGGCTGGATATTTTGGTGAGAAAATCTTGCTGTAAACATCTTTTTCATATTATATCATTCTAGGAGTCGCAGTACGCATACTTTTACGTTGTCACTGAAAAAATTATTGTATTGGGCAGGGAAGTATATTGTCTGGTTAAGAGTTAGTCGCCTACCAGACTTGTACAACATTTTGCCTCACACGACTTACAATTTAAGGCTGCGATTGCGACAAAGAACTTTGATTGAGGGAACTTGTCAATGTAAGAAAAAGGTTACCGCTAATAACCACTAATGCAGAACCGCCTCTTATAACCCAAAAATTGGCGAACCATACATACACAGAAGATATATACAGTCAACTATCAGTAGCGTCAGATTACCTTTACGAATACTGACATTGATAATTTTTGACGACTATAAGGCTTGTGATTTCTGAGTATCAAAGACGCGGCAAGGGAATTCAAAATGAAAGCAAATTTTTAAGCAAGTCATCAGCTGTAGCAGATAATAGTCCTCTTAAATAGAACGTAACATTTTACATTTAGTATAATTTTATAAGTTTTTTCTAACTCAGAATCTTCTCAGGCAGTTAAGAAAGAATCCTATATCAAATATTTGCGCTGAATGAAAATGATTCTGTTCACTAGATATCAGTCGCAGGTTAATGTGCTTTCAAAGTAACAACAATTACGTTCATCAAATTTTCAAAAAATTTTAAAATTAAACGCTTTAGGAAAAGTAAAGCTTACTCATGTTCAACCTAAAACAGTTGCTCTTTTATGGCACAACAAACTGTTAAGGTTTGTAAACAGTTTTAAGGCAGTTAAGGATGGACGCCTAGCAGTGTAAGATTTATAACTTTTCCATAAATAATTACTGCTTCCGGGCGCAAAGAAATATGGGTCAATCTAGCACATCTCTCATACTAATATTAAAACCATTATCTGCAGCTCTTGGCAGTGTTTTAGAGCTTCGTAAAACGGCTTGTACTGGCAGCATGGCATTCATTTATTTTATTTTCTTCGACATATATATTTCTATATAATCCTGTAGTGTGGAGTAATGGCCGCACCGGCGGAAGGTTGATGTTTGGAAACTCATGTTATACCGTAAGATTTTGCCTCTTTTCTTTATCGCTTTTATCCAAAATTTCAAAAATCTTTTTCTAGTTTCTTCTCATAACTGTTTCGCTAAAAGCATTACTGGACTGCGAATCGTGGGCCTTACTCATTGTTTTTTCATCTGCTATTTCGATACTATTTTGGTTTCTGTTTATATTACTGTATTCGTCGGTAAGTTTTCGTTACAGTAATACTGAAGAAAATTATACTTTTACACTATTTCACACTGCCACATTTAACACCGCTAGATATCGCTCAAAATTCTTGACTTATAGAGGAGCGTTCTAAGGTTTGTTATCTTTACACAGCAGTTATTTGCATTTGAGATTTGGCCAAATATTAAATGGGGGGCTGAAATGTGCGGAGTGGCTTCCATAATGTTCTCGTCACCGAGCTTTTGGTTAGCTTGCGCTTTGGTGCCTATCGTGACGCTTTTTTTTGATTTCATCTGGAAAGCGTAAGATTTGACCTTTCTTATCTACCGTGCATTTTAAAATGCTTAATAAGCAGCAGTTCTTATTATGAAGTTACGTCATTTTGGTAAAGGTAATATAGTATAGTGTCAAAGATTTATTTTCTACCGCTTTGTGAAGCAAAAATTCAATTAGGAAAGAGACTCTGAGCATGACCCAGGAATTGATTAAAATCGTTAGCAAATAAATGGTATATTACTTTGTAAAAGACGAGTTATTGATTTTCCAAAAGTTTTAAAAACAATTGTTTGGATTGGGCTACTTTTGCGTAGTGAGGAATCTGCAAGAAGACCCAGAAATCTGACTGTAAAGCTAAAGCACTTTTCTTCTCACTTTGCTTATCAGTTATTAAGTTTTGTGCATGCAGCTTTTGTTCATTCCAGCACAAGAGTCTTTCAAAGTTTGTGTGACCGTGCGAAAGCGTCTGAAAGTTAAGTTTTATTGGCTGGTAGTTCAAGTAAACAGCAATGAAATTTGTAACGCTAAGGGTTATTGTTTTTTTTTAGCTGTGAAAATTTTTTTACCTTTTCAGTTTTCTGTGTTTTCTGTGATGCGACATTTACTTTTCTATTGCACAACAATGAATGTTTATTTTTTATGCTTTTTTATAAACCAGTTCTTCTAGGAGTCAACGCATCTTATGAAGAACCATTTCTGGACGAAAACCTTCGTACAGTTACAGTTTGTAACAACGAGTAGAAATAACTTTTTGACTTTGAAGAAAATAAAGCTGTTTGTCGGATATAAACCATCCTTATTGTTAACTTGTGCATCGTAGTAAACTTAACCATTTATTTTGGACTACAGTAACATTCAAACTTATTTTACTTTGAATTTCTTACTTTACAGCAAATGGCTAAATGTACTACCAGCAAATCAGCGTTTAGTACTCTTAAAAAAGAACTACTATTATTGAAATATTTCGCTATTAACTAGAGGGGTTAACCAATGAATCTTTGATGGAAATAAACAAGCTAGAGCAAAAATTTAGTGATCTGATAAACATGAGCTTCCTTATTTGTCATCCAAACTACCTTTCAAACAAATCGCACTAACTTTATTGATGCACTGTAAAATATGGTTTACAGGTGTTAACAACAAAAAATAAACTCGAAAACAAGTGCTACAAAGCCCCTAAATAATTCTGCAACAGCTAACTGTAAAGAATAAAGAAGACTTGGAATAATTTTTTTAATTAAGTGAAAAACACAACTCTTTTTGAGATCTAACATAAGCAATCTGCTTTCTGCTCGGTGACTCACGTTTCTTAAACTAATTAATCATAGAGGTGTTTTACAGCCATGTTATGATAGTCGTATTGCAAACAGAAAATAATTTACACCTATCAATAAAGATTTTTTTTGCAGACAGTGCAAAGTTTGCAATTAACCATTTGTCACTGTTGAGTAATGTGTCGTCTGCTACACTATACTGTAACTTTCCCGTACTACAGAAGGAATTCTCTTAAATGTTGGCTAATAAATTAACTTATGAAAATATTTTTTCCCGGATGCCAATTCTGCACTGAGTTTTGATAGCACATTTTCAGAAGCTGTTTCAAGCTTCTTCATCTATTTCTTTTTGCCTTTATCCCATCCAGTTTCTGCAGGTTGCCGAACAATGTTCGCGAAGATGAAAGCAATAGTAATGAAAAGTGATCGCTGACTAAAGTTTAAAATTTTACCTGCTTCTCAACAATTTTTAAAAGGCACACTGTTTCTTAAACTTGTAATAATTATAAGTCTTATAAAAAAAAAAAACACCTGAACAAAAACAACGGGTTAGTGTTGGTTTTAATAAAAAACGGCACCAATAGAGACAACCAAAAATCAGCAGTTAGAAAGTCTCTTAATTAATTGAAACCACTCTGAGTGTAGGCGCATCAGAAGTGTTGGCAGTAGCGCTCGTTGGGTTAGGGGTCTTCAGTAAAATCTCTTTTTAACTGCATCTAGTTCTCACTCGTTTTCTCGGAAGATATGGGGTGGAAGAAAACACGAGATGGAGAAGGCAAACATTAAATTTTTCTGGTTCTTTCGACTTGTTAACGTTCTAGGAAGAGTAGGCAAAAAAAAAAAAAAAGAAATGA